TTTACCGTCATCCTCGAGGTTTTTAGGCAACTGTCGTCGACCTGGTTTATTCTGCCTATCGAGCGGTTTACCAAGGTTCGTCGCAGATTCGTGTCTAGGCTTCCTGGAACCACAGGCGAGAGTTGAATAATCGGTGCGGTGTAAAGAGACCAGATCAGGAATGCTACTCTTGTCAAATATCTCCTACACCTCGGGATTTCCCGTGATTTGCAAATAAAGTCAGCTGTTGTGTTTGTTTCTCGTTGAGCCTGATAAGCAGTGTTGTGTTTTTTGTCTTTCGAATCGCGAAAATTGTAGCACCGTGTATAGGACAGACACAAAGTGATAGACAAGCATGCATACGTTATAGTTTGTTAACTGTGCATTGAACGAATAAACCGTAATTTTCTTATCCTTCAATAATTCGTAACACCACCATTTTCCCACTCAAATTCCTCACGCATCATGAATCATTACGGGGTTCATTTTTTCTTCAGGACCGATTTAGAGAATTTCGATCTCTTGTTTGTGATTGTGATCGGGGTGAATCGACTTCGATCGGTTGCCGGCCTTTATCCGCTTCGGTGTTTCCTGGACTGTCGAATCAAAGAGGCTCCGTTGCTGTGGCATCGTCAATTATTCCTACACTTTGTGTCCTTAGTTCGTCATCGACTCTCGGTTATGGCTGATTCATCCGTCATTGATCCCTCCATGGTGGTGTTTGGAGGAAATGCGACAATAACGGTGGAAGATATGTATCGCCTGATGGCTCATTTGATCATACCCAGTCTTGCTCATGCACTGGAGTGTGGACCGTTAGAGGAGTTGATTGGTGGGCCTCCGAGGCCATTGGAAGATAATGGTAAGATGGATATGATTGCGATGATCGCATGAACAAAGCTGGATGTTGTTAATTTACAATCGTATTACTGTAATAATGTTTGACATTATTTTTTATCTATTAGTACGTTATTTATTTCGATGTGGTTGGTCTGTGGGGGTTCCCAGTAGCATGCACCTTTGCTCCTCACTGAATACGTATTGCGCTGATATTAAACATCGTTTACAGTCATCTTCTTAATTTTCCTCAACACAGGATTTAATGTCATTGGTGCCTTGTTCATTCACATGAATTCAATAGGTCTCATTGGAACAACTTTATCATGCCACACCTGAAAGCGGAATCGTTCGGTGTGACTAATGAATGTCGATCGATACACAGACCGTTTGTAAGACAATAAGAAACACTGCAGTGGTTTACGTTTTTTTAGTTCTTTGTTGCAAGAAACTTACGCTTCCAAACTTTCTGTTTCTGTTTTTTTCACTTGCAGATACAGCTCAATTCGTATTATGCTAGATTTCAGTAAAGGAGATGACGATTTCGGTTCGACATTTTTCATAACCTCTTGTGTTTTTCCTTCCTCTCCTTACCCCTTCGAACACTGCTTCTACCATGTGAACAGAGGACGATTTGGTGTATTTGTTCATCCACGTTCTACTTGAAGATTCCGCTTTGCAAACGTGTACTGAACTGCGTGTCATGTACTATCAGTTAGCATGTTTGTTTGTGCACCATGCCATGGACTACATCCACTCCAGAAGCGAAACGTAAGTTGCATCTTGAAGTAGATTTATTAAGGATATTGCGGAATATTTCCTTCGATATATTGTATTTCTACTTTTAGCTTGTGTAAGCTCTCTCTCCCCATCCCGGACGCGATTGATGCTTTCGAACGAGAGTGAATCCTCGTTCTACGGTTTTTCGCTTAAGTAAGAGGCTTAATATACAGTATTTGGAGTTCCTTTCAGGCTTATAAATAATAGGTAGCTTTTGGGTGTAGTAAAACCGAAATGTCCTAATTCCATACTTCCTAGAATGAAGTGTACCATCAAAATTCAACATAATTTAATCTTGGAGGTTGCTTGCGTTTTTTCGGTTAATCGGATGCATTGGTCATCCTCAATTCCTAAACACTGTTTTGGGAGCGTAAGATTTATTTGATCCATCCCCACTCGGCTTTGGTCTTCACTCACCACTCCACTGGTTTTGGGGTCACCTTATCGCTAGTCTCTGGTTGTAATTCCCCCCCCCCCAAAAATCAACTGCTCCGGATTTGGCAAATTATATATTTACTTGATCAACAGCTGAATTCTGTGGCGAAATCGTGTTCTCACGGTTGCTACTTTGGAAGAGGTGATCTCGTGAACAGTTAAGTCACAAAAGAGGGTGATCCAATCGTCATGTAATTAGTTGACCTTGATGAAGTTCTCTACAAGGCTTGGTGCTTTCACTTTGTAAATAAACATTGTGCAATGCGTCCCATTACCCGTGACGAGGCGATCGTACCTTTTTACACTACGTATTTGGCATACAGTGTCGTAACGCTCTTCAAGCACTCGCCCACCAATTATGGTCGCGGGTACTCAAATGAAGTTCGCATTTCCACTGGTTAATGACCTATATGAGGATTCAGTGACAACGGATCAACGTCCGAATCGTGGCGAATCAAGCAGCCATTCTGCGTGATTGTGATGTCTGGTGTCCCGCGGTTGCATTGGGTAGATATAAACGTTTGAAGTGCGTTAAAATATTGTGCCCGCCAAATCCACGGTTCAGGACGCGCAACTACTCATTCATAAGTTACATAGTATACTATTCATAATAACCTTCTCCTCCGTCTATTGATCTCTGATGCAACTTGCTTACAAAGATTACATCATATTACTTTGCTCTGTTTTTCTTTTTTCTCTCTGGAAAAATATCGACATCTAACCACTTTACTCGTCACAGAGAACACAGCCCAAGGCTGCGGCGGCTGATCGATTTTGCCTGGTGTTGCACGACTAGCAGTTTGAGCGTAGTGGATCTACAGGAGAAATACACTGGACTTCAACTTCTGGCTCATTTGATTGCGAAATTTAATCTTCCGTCAAAAATTGCCGTTCAAGTGTTCCAGTGTTTGGCCAAAGGAACTCACACAGAAACGAAGAAGATCGTCAATCCGGCCTTGGATGTCCTGATCCCTGCCTGGGTACGAGGTCCAGACGATCAGGTCAGAATGAATTTCAATGATGGCATCATGAAGCATATGTTTGAGGAAAAAGCTTGCAATTCACATTTGATAAGTTTGATTATTCTGAATTAATCCGGTCGCAGGTTGGAAATAATATATTCCATTTTGATTCACCCTCTTACTGGACGATTGGGTCTTTAAGCTTATCGGTTTATAGTTATTTATAACTTTGTAATGGTTATGATTCTGGGAACGACCTTGACCTTGCCAGAGAACAGCGGTGTCGAACAGTTTCCGTGCGGATAGCTGTCTGATCTGGAAGCGTTCAATGCAGCGTCGGCACGCCTACAAAAGTCTCAATTGAAAGCTTTCCCACTTAAGGGATCTGTGGTGTCGCATCGACATCGACTGTCTGTGAGGGGTAGAGTGTGTGCTATTGCAGTCGGGTCATTGCTGCTAAGAAGTGCAGAAACACTGACCTTACAGAAAGAGGTTGAAGACAGACTGTTCAAGCTTAAACACCACTACCTATGCTTCATGTCATAAATGCGATGGAGCAGCCGGATTGGTGTTAAAAAACATTCAAGGATCCCTTTTTAAGAAAACGAGTCGGTGAGTGAACAATTGTTTTCGGATATTCCCAGTCATGCTCTTACATATCATATGGTGGAAAAATTCTTACATAATGATAGCCATTGGCTCAATTTAAGGTCATTAATCAGAGGTAGAGAGTAATGAAGTGTATGCGTATGTGTGCCCTAACCTATGTGCCCCAAAACGACTGGTGCAGGCGCTCCAATTGCCTTGACCGGGTGTGAAAACCAAGACAGAGCATGACGTGTCACTTGACCCAGATGGGAAAAGGTCACATCAACTAACACGCTAAACAGTCCTGCACCCACCCACACACACTTCCATTACTCTCTGCCTCTCATTAATGACCTTAAATTGAGCCAATGGCTATCATTACGTAAGAATTTTTCCACAATATGATATGTAAGAGCATGACTAGGAATATCTGAAAACAATTGTTCGCTCACCGACTCATTTTCTCAATGCTATCGTGGGAATATTCAACCTTTTGAGATCCCTTTTTAATCGAAGATGAACTTGCCCAGATCTAGTACGCTCCAGCGCGTTCGTATATTCTAGGACAAGGTTCACTGTACAACTCGAGTGGCATTGAAAATTTACGGTATTTTAGCTAAAATTGTTCCGATAATTGAATTCGATAATTCACATAATTGTGGACAAAAAGTGCCATACAACTTTGGGAATCGCACATGTGCAAACGCAAATCTGCCATGTATAATGTTGAATATCAATATTTCATCTTTCCTAGAAATGGAAAGAAAAACGGATCGCCTGTTTTTAAAAGAAATCTGGGTTTTAGTACAATCAGATCACTGACATTTCTTTCATAGATGACGCCCGGAGCTCCAAGTTCTGTGTGCTGTACACGGTGCTTTCTGTCCCCCTCTGTTTATTGAATCTTTTGGAGTTCAATACCGTGAACTCCGATAGACATTACCGTAACCAGTCACTGCAGCAGACCTGTTCGGTCATCTTTTGTTCCTCAAATTCTGACGAAAAACTTTCAATGGAATTAAAAATGACATGAGACAGGTAGATTAGATAAATTCTGGTAATCGGAGACGTTTTTCGTTCTTATCCTTTTGTTACCATTTCTCAAGTAATTTGCATGACATAGGGTCTGGAAATAGATGTATCAAAAAGTAAGTAATAGGACTTTCACTGGGATGTGAACAAACGTGATGAACTTGTGAAAAGTCAAATATTGTACACATTTTCCCACTATCAGTTTGCCTTTTCAATTTGGCTTGTCTTACTGTATTGTGATAAATCAATTGCCATTTGTAAACACTTTATTTGCAGAAAGTTTTGGCATCGACTACTCTGAAAATTATCCTTGAGGATCACGGGATCCA